CACGCGCTCAGCACGTGAGCGTGGTGAGGCTGCAACCCTTGTACGTGGTCTGTCCAGGCAGCAGCTTGGCGACGAAGGTCAACACCTGTTTCTCAGTGATCGTAGAGAAGCCGAGTTCCAATAGCAACTCCTGCATGAAGGGGACGCTGCGTTTAGGCGTCGCGTGGATCCACGCGTTGATCTTCGTCTCGGCGCAGGTGAATGGCGCCGCGAGCAGACAGAACTGATACTGCGTTAGCGTCGGACGCAACCCCTTGATCGCCGCCAACACTTCATTCAGCGTCTTCGTCGCATCCAGCTTGTTTACCTCGACAAGGATGTCTGACGGAGCTTGGCTCTTGGAGACGCCGTCGGCAACGATCGTGTCCCAGCATGCGCCCGTCGTCAGACTACAGCCGTCGAACGTCGTCCAGGTCGGCTTTGCAGCGTGCAGGAACTCGATGACCTGCTTGCGCGTGTAGTCCGGGTAGTTGGGGCTGAGCTGCAGGTCCTGTACGATGGCGGCGAGTGTCTTCGGCGGTGTGAGCGTGGCTGCTTTGACGATGTAAGTGAGAGCGTCCGAGCGATCTTTCATGTAGCCGAGCACGAACTTGAGCGAGTTCTTCTGCGCCGTCAGCAGCTTCAGGAAGTTCTCCTGTAACGTCTTCAACACGTTCATGTTGTCCTGCTCGAGTTTGTCGCTGACTTTGGTCGTGACGGCGTCGCACACGTACAGTCCGGCCGTGGCTCGGCACGACGCGCACAGTTTCTGCGCCCGGGATGCCTGGCACTTCGTCACGCAAGCCGCGTCACCGCTGCATTTCTCCGTGCAGTAGGTGCTCGACAGGTCCTGGCAGTCGGTGCAGGCCGTGCAGAGCGTGTCTGTCGCCGGACGCGAGACGTACTCGTACGTGGCCGTCATGTTAACGAAAATCTCATTGAATTCGACGAACGACGCCGCCTGCTCCGCCTCCGTGCGTGTCGCGTTGATGTTCTTTGCCAGCAGCTCGAACTTGGCTTCCCTCAGCGTCTTCAGCGACTCGACCAGGTAGCTGTGGACATCTGACTCCTGCTTGATGCTGAACCCGAGCAGCAGACCAGCGCTGGCGAGCGGTAGCAGGAACAGGACTCCGCGGAAGAGCGCCTTACCCGCAGCAATGGCACCGACCTTAAACCGCAGTCGTTTCGCCTGCGATGACGACAGACTGATTGCGCCGCGGCGAGGACGATTTGCGACTTGGATGTTGGGCCTGTATTTTGCCTTCCACTTGCCGAAGCCTTTGCTGAGCAGTGGGCCGATGACGAGCGTGAAGGCGAGCAGCGAGCCCTGGATGGCGACGTTGACGCCCGCTTCCTTATTGAATGATTCCACCTGCGTCTGGGCCGAGTCGGCGATGCTGAGTGCGATGTCGTACGCGCCGAGCATAATCTCGTCGGCCTTCGATGCGCCTGTGAGAGATTAGACCAATGTTTGTTATTATGCCCTTCAGTAGGCGGACGCTGGGTTTACACTGTGCACTTACACTGGGCACGTGTGTGTGTGTGTGTGTGTGTGTGTGTGTGTGTGTGTGTGTGTGTGTGTGTGTGTGTGTGTGTGTGTGTGTGTGTGTGTGTGTGTGTGTGTGTGTGTGTGTGTGTGTGTGTATATCTGTTTTATATCTGTCTTCTTTTGTCTCATATATGTCTTATAACTTCTCTCTGTCTTATATCTGTCTCATATCTGTCTTCTATCTGTCTTCTATCTGTCTTATGACTTCTCTGTCTTATATCTGTCTTATATCTGTCTCATAACTTCTCGTCTGCAGCACGTGCATCGGCGGTATATTCACGTGTAACGGAGTGCTCAGCGACTGCGTCACAAACTGTCTGTGGGGAGATTGGATGCCTAGTACATGCAACGCCACCTGTGGGCCGGGAACAAAATCATACACGAGAGAGGTGGCGTCGCCGGCGACGAACGGAGGTCTAGAGTGCTGCGGCCAGGTCTATTCCGAGGAGCCATGCAACGTCGGCCCGTGCGGTAGGTGGCGCTAATTTTTTTTTACAATGCAAGTGTTTTCCATGTTCCTGGATGATATATAATATATATATAAATAATAACAATATCTAATAATATATATATATATGTATATATATATAATATATATATATATATATATAGATCACCCATTTATTGTGGTCGTGTATATCTGTAAATGCTGTAAAATTTTAAATGCTAGTACTCCTCCGTGGCCGCAGTGCATTCGTAAGGCTGTGAACGCCTTCAATCCGATACAGTACTGCCGAAGCGTAGCAATGTCGGCTCCGGCTTTCAAGCTCGGTTTATTCTCTTGAACTACTCAACTTTGCGACATTTACATTATAATTATTGTATTATATCTATTATATTATATTACACATATATTAATATATATTATATATATATATATATATATTATATTATCATAGATATTATACTAATATTGATATACATTAACATTATATATATAACGTCTTTTCCAGATGCCGACAGAAAGGTTGTGTCGCGAATTCCGGCACTCGCACACTGTCTCACATGCCGAAACCTAGTTTGATCCCAACCCACCTGCGTGCTTGCCCGTGGCCGGATGCGAGGGTCGCAGCAGCCGATAGAGGCGCTGATGGCACATGCATGGAGCCAGTAGCGACGCTGCGGCTGCATTACGCTAGAGCGAATTCCGGTGAGGTGAGCGAAAGGTGATTAAGGTAAAGTCTGGCGATGACATACGCACTTACACACCAACACACGACAGCAACGCCGCACAACGCCGCACACCGCGCGCGCACATCGCACCTACGCGCGCGCACACACCACCACCCGCACACATCGCGCCCACACAAACAATACCGCCGCACAACACACCACACGACGACACACACGCACACACTGCGGCGCGCCACGCAGAGCCACCGCACGCACACCACGCACACACGGGCCACACGCCGCACACAGGCCACGCCACGACGCCAACGCACACCGCACACGCACACACCACGCAGCGCGCACACGCACACGCAACACCACAGCGGGCACAGACCACACACGCACACGACCACAGCGCACACACACACGTCGCAGCACACAACGGTCGGACGACACCGAACAACGACACACAGCACACACATAGAAAACACACACACACACAGCACGCACAACCCACAGCACACAACGCCACACACACGCACAGCACACACACACGCACACACGCGCACACACACACCACACACACGCACACACACACACACCACCACACACACACAGCACCACACACACGACCACACACACACGCACACACACACCACAACCAGACACACACACCACCACCAGACCAGCACCACAACACGCACAAGCCACCCACACCGCAAAAGCGACACACCAACACCCCAACACAACACACGCACACACACACGCACACACACACACATCACACACACCAACAAGCACACGCACACACACACAGCCACACACACCACACACACCACACACACACAATCCACACGACACACACACACCAACACAACACACACACACACACACACACACACACCAACAACACACACACACACACACACACCACAGCACACACACACACACACACACACACACACGGTAACACACAATCACACGACACACCACACCACACCACACACCACCACACACACACACACACAACACACCGTCACACACACACCAGCACACACGACCACACACCACAACGCACACACACACACACACACACATACCACACCCAACACACACACCACACATCCACAGCACCAACACACACGACCACAACAGCACACACATCACACACACACCACACACACACACACACACCACAACACACACACACACCACACGCACGCACACACACACACAGCACAACACACACACAGCAACACACACACACACCACACACACACACACACACACACACACACACACACACACACACACACACACACCCCACGTCACACAGACACACACACACACACGCACACCACACACACACACACGCACCACACACCACCACACCACACACAGCACACACACACCAGCAACAAGCACACACACACAAGCTTTTTCTCGTCCTTCGCTTCTCACGCTCGCGCGTGTTGTTTCGTCCTCCGCACAGATAAGATATAAATTAATATGAGATACAAGATACAAGATAAATATAAGAATAAAATATAAGCGATATGGAAAATAAAATACAAGTATATAAATATATAAGATATTGATATAGTATAGATATAGATAGGCGAGAACAAGATACAGTTTTATTTATCGCTTTTCAATTCATCCGCGCAGAGGCAACGAGACTCGATCTCGAAGACGCGTGCTCCTCCTGCATATGCGTGCGCTGGCCCAAGAAAGCTGAATCCGCCCTCTTGTGACGCACGAGGCTGCCGAAGCGGATACGAACTCGACTATCCGCCAGGGGAATGCTGTCCGCGTCTGCTCGCGCGATAGTGGCGTGCTTAGCCGGCGTGCGACGGCTGGCGCAGCAGACACACACACACACACACATACACAAACACACACACAGCACACACACACACATACACACACACACACACACACAACACACACACACACACAACACACACACACAACACACACACACAAGGTGAGTTGTACGCGCTGCGGCGTGTTTCACAATCTGTTTCGCAGGTGGCGCTTCATCGCGCAGTTGGGCTAGTTCCCCACCACCTCTCCACCCCGGGCTGTGATACACGGGGTAGCTGGCTACTACACACTCCCCCAATCCAACGCATTTATGTGATACACCGGGGTAGGCTACTACCACCTTCCCGCGAAATCCACAAATTGCCGAAGTACGTAATCAACGGTTACATAAGTAAACGTTTTTTTTTAGCTAAAAAGTTCAATATATATGGTTGTCGACAAACATCGGGTTGATTCGAGAGTCTTAGACTAATATGTCACACAGTTGAAAAGCTGACGCGTGGGCGCCACTACCGGCGCCCTAATATCCTAACACTTACCCGCTCTCGCACGACAGTTGAGCCGCACGACGTGCGTCTCTTAGCAACGTACGCAACGGTCACCGACGGGCAAGCGGCTGCTACGCCATCGACGTCAAACGTGACGTCATGGCATCGGATTTGCCGCATTCTAGGCGAGACTTACGCTCTTTCTTCGACTTCTCAATCGACAGGACGGAGAAAGGACTGCTCGTGCTGCAGTGGGAGTGAAGCGAGTGGGCGAGAATGCTCTTGTATTGACAGATGGCAGCACGAGGACGCGTGCGTACGAGAAGATACTCAGCTGCGGTTCGCGAGACTGGTGGGTGTTTCCGGTGAGTAAGATGCAAAGAGGAAAGGCGAGTGAGCATATAGGCGCAAGAACCTGTTACGTTGCTTACCGTTTCTACTGGTCTTGTACTTTCAATGGCGGAAGGGTACGCGCACTCAAAAACGTGATGGGTGCATTGCCAAACCTGTTGCGTAGAGTTCATTATATTCATAGGCAATTATATTCCCAGCATGTATCTAGAAACAATGTAGTTGGCGTTATATACGCGTACTGACTGACTGATGATTGATTAATTAATTATTATTAATTAATTTATTTGTTCATTTATTCATTGTATTAGGTTGATTGATTGTGTTGGTTGTTTGGTTAGTTGGTTGATTGTGGTCGATTGGTTATCTGGTTTAATGATTGGTGATTGATGTTGATGATTAAATGAGTGCAGTTGATTTGATAGCAGGAGATAGAAGAGATGAGAATCTAGAATCTTCAGATAGTTCTGCTTCAGTTCCTTCAGCTTTTTCATAATACGTGTATATCCGTACTATTAGAGCTAATGTGGCAGAAGAAC